CTTGACTGGGTTCTGGTCGCTCTCATGCCCAAGAGCGTCCCTTGAGTCACTGTGAGTGACGCTTCCATCAGTGCCCTCCTATTTTCCTACTGCCGCGTGCCCGTGCTCCCGCCGTGTCTCTCCTGTTCCTTGCCTCACCTGTTGTTGCATGGACGGTACGGCCACGCCTGGGCACCCCGTGCCGCCGCAGTGCAGCGTGCTCCACGCCCTGTCGCGCTGTCCGGTACGGTTGGAGCTTGGCGCCACGTGCGCGACAGCTCCTTTCCGTCCGCTTCCAGTTCTGTGCTTGCGTTGCCCACTGTCGGGCCGCCAGCGTCAGCTCCCAATGAGGGTCATTTTGTCCTTGGCATGTGCACTCGCTACAGCGGCCTATGCGCCATCTTGGGCCATCTTGAGGCTGTCTTGAGGCCTTTTCAAAGTCTGTCGGAGGCTATCTTGAGCGATGTTTGGCTATCTTGGGGCGCTCTTTCGGCCACGACTGGATCCGCTTCAAGATTTTGGCCCAAACGCAGCCCGAGATCTAGGTCACCCCCAGGGGCGCGAAGATAATCGCGCATCGCGCATCACGTCCTGGGCTGGAGCGCCGCTCTTCTCCAGGGGGCGGCGGAGGAGGAGGAGGAGGAGGAGGACAAACAGAAAAGGAGGAAGGGAAGGAGGAGGAGGAGGAGCAGCAGTAGGAACGCGACGCGAGGAGGATAAAGAGGAGCAGGGAGGCGGCAGGAAAGAAGCAAGGAAAGAACGGACGATGACAAGGAGGACGAGGTTTGGGCTTTTGGGATATGTTGTGGTGAGGGGTTCTCCGAAAATTCGTAATGCCATTTTAACGCCATCTTGGGGCCCTCTTGGGGTCCTCTTGGGGAGGAGGAGGAGGAGGAGGAGGAGGAGGGGGAGGAGGAGGAGGAGGACAAACAGAAAAGGAGGAGGGGAAGGAGGAGGAGGAGGAGGAGGAGCAACAGGAGGAACGCGGCGCGAGGAGGATGAAGAGGGCAAGGAGGCGGCAGGAACGCCGCAAGGAAGGAACGGACGATGACAAGGAGGACGAGAAATCGAGCTTTGAGGCTATGTTGTGGTGAGAAGTTCTTCGAAGACTCGTAATGCTATTATGGCGCCATCGTGGGGCCCTCTTGGGGTCCTCTTGAGGCCTTCTTGGGGCCCTCTTGAGGATATTTTGGGGGAGTCTTGGGGCCCTCTTGAGGCTTCTTGGGGGGTCTGGGAGGCCTCTTGGGGCCGTCTTGGGCACCATGGTTCAAACAGAGGGGGGGGGAAATTCGCCCCCCCCCCCCCCCGGAGGCTCTCCAACGGCATTTTGGGGCCCTCTTGGAGCGCTCTTGGGCGCCTCTTGGGCGATCTTGGGGCCGTCTTCGGCCTTCTTGGGCCTCTGTTGGGCCATTTTGGGGCCATCTTGAGGCTTCCAAAGCCCATCGGAAGCGACAAGGCGACACTGCCACAACATTGATTTTCCCCAGGCTTTGGAACGGTTTTGGCATCTTGGATGGCGCCGTGGAGGGCTCGAAGGGCACTTGGATCCGTCTTGGGGCTGTTTTGGGGCCTCCTGGGGGTATGTCGGAGGCTATCTTGACCCATCTTGAAGTAGCATGGCCCATCTTGGAGGCCATCTTGCGACTTCGAAGCCCTCTTGGAGCAATCTTGGGCCATCTTGGACGCTCTAACGCCTCGGTACCCCCCCCCTTCCTGGCCCAGGGGAGGGGGTAGGGAGAGGGGTTTCAGTGGAAGAGAGAAGAAAAACGCGTTATACCACCTAAGCCCAGAGGGCTGGTGGGATTCCTCCTCGAGGGGGACGGGGGGAGGAGCAGGACGAGGAGGAGGAGGAGGACGACGAGGGGAAGGAAATCCTGGCAAATCACTTGTGCCCCGAGCGCGGGCTGGGGTCCCGAGGCGCATGCCGAGGGGTTCTCTCGGGTGCTCCGCGACCAGCGCGGCTGTCGCTGCCGCTGTTGCTCTGTTGCGCAAGAGGTGCCCCTTCGCTGTGCATCGCCCTCTGCTGGGCGAGGCACCGCTCCAAGTTGATAAAAAAAAGTCCTTGGTGCTAGAGGTGCCCCGTTGCCGTGCATCGCTCTCTGCTGGGCGAGGCCCCTCCCCAAGTTGATTTAAAGAACGTCCTTAGTGTTAGGAGGTGCCCTTTTGCTGTGCGTCTTTCTCTGCTGGGCGAAGCCCCTCCCCAAGTAAAAGAGTCCTTACTGCTAGAGGCGCCCCTTTGCTACGCATCGCTTTCTGCTGGGCGAGGCCCCGCCCCAAGTTGATTGAAGCGGAATCTGCAGTGCTAGACGCGCCCTTTTGCTGTGCATCGCCTTCTGCTGGGCGAGGCACCGCCCCAAGTTGATAAAAAAAGAATAGTTGGTGCTAGACGCGCCCCTCCCCTGGGCATCTCTCCCTGCCAGGCGAGACCCCTCGCCAAGTTGCATTTGAAAAGAGTCTTCGGCGCTAGACGTGCCCCTCGGTGCTAAATGCACCCCAGTTGAATTTAAATGTGGCGTTGGTGCTAGACGTGCCCCTCTGCAGGGCGAGGTCCTGGTTTCGGTTCTGGTTCGGGTGGTTTTGAATTAATACTATCATAAGAATTGTAATGCAACCCGATCCGCAACTGTGACCAGGACTGTTCCTGGTCACGTTTCTGGTTCGGGTGGATTGACACTAATAATATCATAAAAATATTAATGCAACCCGAACCGCAACTGTGACCAGGACTGGTTCTGGTTACGGTTCTGGTTGCGGTTCATTGGTATTAATGATATCATAAAAATAGCAATGCAACCCGAACCGCAAGTGTGACCAGGACTGGTTCTGGTCACGGTTCTGGTTCGGGTGGAGTCGCATCGATAATAGTATAATCGTATCAATGCAACCCGATCCACAACTGTGACCAGGACTGGTTCTGGTTCCGGTTCCGGTTCGGGTGGATTGGCATTCATATTATTTGCGCAACCCGAACCACAATTGTCACCAGGATTGTTCCTGGTCACGTTTCTGGTGCGGGTGTATTGACATTAGTAATAGTATTGTGATGTCAATGCAACCCGAAACACAACTGTGACCAGGACCAGTTTTGTTTGTGGTTCACGGGCATTAGTGATATTATAATGTTAAATTAATGCAACCCGAACCACAACTGTGACCAGGACCAGTTATGGTCACGGTTCTGGTTGTGGTTCATTGGCATTAGTGGTATCATTGTACGTGCTCGCGCGCTATGTGTTGTCCAGCGGGCCTCCCCACCGTGTGCCGTACCAGGATACGGCTGAACAGAACTCTCTACAGCCCCTCTTTGCTCAAGGTTTCTTGGGCACCAGTCTCGCCGCCCCGTGCATGCAGGCGGCGGCTGGCTGGGTTCTTGGGATCCTCGCGTCCCGCTGGTCCGCGCCGGCGCCGCCCGCGGACCCGTCCTGCACCTGCATCTTCAGCGGGCACGAGCCGGGCTCGGGCGTGCTGGACATCCTCCGGGAGCAGCTCTCGCGCTGCGGCCCGGAGCACCTCGGGGCGGCCTGCCCCGCGTGCCCGGCCTGCGTCTGTCCGCAGTGCCCGGCCCCAGCGGCCCCGTCCGGGGCCTGGGCGCTCGTGGTCCTCGTCGGGCTCGCGAGCTTCGCCGCCGGCGTGGCCGCTGCGGCTGCCTGGCTGCTGCGGGTGGGGGCGCCTCGCGCCGTCCTGCCGCCGCTGGCCCTCGCGGAGGGGCCTGCTGGGGAGCGCGTCGGTGCGGCGACGCCGGCGACCCTCCAGCGAGTGCGGAGGCGGGCTGGTGCTGTGAATGCCGAGGGCGCTTGACGTTCCCTACGCCCAGTGCCTGGTGCGGTACGACGACGACGAGAACTTCCAGTGGCACCACAGGGTCCTCCTGGTCAAAGGCCCAGACCAATGGTGGGTCTGGGTCACTCCCGACGGGGAGATCGCGGCGGCCAACTTAGGAGGCTTCCGCGTGTGCGCCCTCCAGCGGGGGGGCGCCTTCCCCGACCGCTATCGGGGCAACATCTACGTCTTCGACGATGCCGATGTGGACGCCGCAGAGATGCACCAGTACTACCGCGAGGCGCGGGCGCTGGGGGACATCCTCGGGTATCCCGCCTCGGCCGCCCCCCTCGCCGTGGACGAGCGCTGGTTCGTCTCGGACCCCACCTCGCTCCACTACGGGGAGGAGGTGCCCGCGGCCGCCTTGGGCAACGACGAGCTGCTCCTCCGCCGGGGCGAGGTGGGCCTTGTGCTCATCGACGACGTGTGGCAGACGGCGGTGCGGGTCGAGGCCGGCAGCTCCTTCGAGGAGTGGCAGGCTCGGGCGCGTGGAGGGCCTGGCCGCGACCCGCGCATCGCCGGCGACGAGCGGGACGAGGAGAAGGATCGCTTCATGAGCTTCCGGACCTCTGTCTCGAAGATGCGCGAGCAGGCCATCCCTGGGTGGCCCCTCAAGGGGAAGCGGGCCACACGCGAGGCTTGCCTCGCTCTTCGGGATGCCGGACAGGAGGGTTGGGACGAACACCACACGACGTGGGTGAGAAGGTCCGGCATCCCGGAGAAGAGCAACACCGCCCGCGAGCACCGGATGCTCTGCTCGGTGCTCCGCATCATGCAGCAGTTCGACCAGCTCGACCTCTACAACGTGGCGGGGGTGGAGTACATGGTGCGCCGCTTGAAGCAGCTCGAGGCCGCCACCAGGCGGAACCCGAGGCAGCCCGACTTCGACGGGCTCGACGTGGTGCTGGACGCCGCCATCGACGAGTCCGGCGGCTTCGTGCTCCCGGCCTTCGATGCCTGGGTCGGCGAGCAGCAGCGGTCCGAGGCGGCCATCATGAAGGCAGGGAGGCAGTGGCGGGAGGAGACTTCGGCGGGCGGCTCCAAGGACAAGCCGCCGAAGCACCCCAAGAAGGAGGGCAGCGGGTAGGCGGGCGAGGGGCCCCCTACCCTGCCGTCCCGGCCGGCGGGCTCACCGCCCCGCGGCGCCGGGCCGGCCTTCCCGGCGTGGGCTCCTCCACGTCCGCAGTTTTGTTCTCTTCGGCATGGCTCGTCGTGATCATCGTCGTCATGGGGAGCCTCTGCCCCTTCCGGTCCCGCAGCCCTCCGGGTTCGTGGACCTGGCTGACGCGCCGAGGTATCTGGCCCTCCGTGCCGTACGTCGACGCTGTCGCGAACACCGACTTCGGGAAGCCGTTCGCTCGATCAACGACCTCTCCCGTGCCTCGGTCCACGGGTTCGGCAGCGTGCCAGCCCGTGGCTCCACCAAGCCCGGCGAGCCCTCCGCCACGCAGGCCAGTTGCCTCGCCCACTTGCGTCGCAACATCGGCCGGCACGGCCCACGGCCGCCTGGGCTCACACCTCGCGGGGCCCTTCAGGAGCTCCTCAAGTCCGACTCGCTGTACGCCGGGGCGCCCTCCAAGGTCGCACCCTACAGTGAGGACAAGCTCAAGTTCTGGAAGTCGAAGATCGTCCCGAAGCGTGTCGAGGACATCTGCCCCGACTTCGTCGTCCGCGCCTTCGCCGACCCCGATCGGTACGTGCGGAAGCCGGACAGGGTCTTCTTGGCTGATGCGGAGGTGCTCGACCCCATCGTGCCCTACTGGGACCCTCACCTCGCTGGCTCGCCCGACGCGCGGGTCAGGTTCGTCCGCCGCCTGGCGGAGCGAGGCCTTGTCGGCTACCGTCGGCGTATTCGTGCTCGCGTGGGCTGCTTCTTCGTCGAGAAAAAGGGTGGGTTCATCAGGCTCGTGGTCGACGCCCGCGAGACGAACCGGACCCACTGGAGTCCTCCGCACGCTGCCCTCGGGACTCCGGCCGCGCTCGCCGAGCAGGACTGGTCGGACGCCGCCCTGGGAGCCTCCGACGCGACCTCGGCGCCCGCCATCTACGGTGCCTCGCTCGACCTGGCCGACAGCTTCTACCAGTTCTGCTCGGACGCCCTCGCGGAGGACTTCGGGATGGACTACCCCGAGCCCGCGTCGGTGTACGGGGCGACGCACGTCTGGGAGGGCGGCCGCTTCATCCCCGTCGGCGCCGACGAGGTGGTGTTCCCCGCCTTTCGTGGCGTCGCCATGGGCTGGAGCTGGGCTCTTTGGGTCGTGCACTCCTCGGTCACTTCGTGGGTGGGTCACGCGCTCTCAGGCGGGCCTGCGAGCCTCGTCCTGGACCGTCAGCCGCCGCGCCCGGCGGCCCCGGGCAGGCCCGCCGGCTCCGTCTACGTCGACAACGTGGGGATCCTGGGTCTCTCCGCCGCCGATGCCGCGGCGGGCCTGGCCAGCGTCATGGAGGAGCTCGACCGCCGGGGCATCGTGTACCACGAGGTCTGCGAGCCGTCCCTCGAGTTCGGTATGGTGGGCGTGGTGTATGATGGCCTCCGTCGGACTCTTCGCCACTCCGACGAGCGGGCCTGGCGGCTCTACCTCGCCTGCCTGGAGCTGGAGCGCCCGGGCGTGCCCCGTGCTGCGTGGCAGGTGCGGGTCGTCCTCGGGCACTTCATCCAGCACTGTCTCCTCCTGCGGCCAGCCATGTCCATCTTCCGCCACCTCTACAGGTACGTGGACGAGTGCCGGCTCGGGCCGCCTTCGCCTCTGCCGGGTCCCGCTCGGCAGGAGGTCCGTGTCTTCCGAGGGCTCATCTTCCAGGCGGTCGTCGACCTCGCCGCGCCCGTGTCGGACATCGTGCTCTGCTCCGACTCCTCCGAGGCGGGCTACGCCCTACACCGCCGGCGCTGCGACCCCGAGGCGGTGCGCCGACTCGCGCGCCTTCGGGAGCGCTGGCGCTTCACGCCCGACGAGAAGCGGCCCGAGGCCCTGGAGGACGACACCTACACGCCCGGCTGGCTTCCTGGCGCTGGAGGGGTGCTCGGTGAGGGGGACCCCAGCTGCGGCATTGCGACCTGGGCCCCGCCACCGAGGAGGGCCGACGAGCGCCCCCACGGTACCGTGCGGGCTCGGGTTGCACAGGCCCCGCGGCGGGCGACCTTCGAGGACATCCCCGACGAGCTCGTCGCCCCTGACGCCTGGTCGCTGGTCGTGGAAGGTGCCTGGAGGACGCGGGCGCCCATCCACATCCTGGAGGCCCGAATCGCCCTCGCGGGGCTCCGACACGCCTCCAGGAGCCTCGAGTGCCACGGGCGCCGCGTCCTCAGCCTCGGGGACAACATGGCCGAGGTGCTCTCGACCGAGAAGGGCCGCGCCGTCGACGTCGGCCTCGGCTCCGTGTGCAGGCGCAGTGCTGCCATCCAGGTGGCCACCGGCATCCGCTGGCGGCGCCGATACCTCGACACAGAGAGGAACATCAGCGATGGTGGCTCGCGCAAGGCCCTGCAGGGGCTGTACCGCCCTGGACAGCGTCGCGTGGGGCCTGGCGCCGGCGCCGCGGGGGCTGTGGGACGGCCCGGTGCGGCCCCGCCCCCGCCGCCGCCCCTGGGGCAGGATGCCGGCGCTGCGGGGCCGGCTCGGGCTGCCGCCGCCTTGGCGGCGCCCGCCGTCGCGGGGGACCCAGCGTGCCGACGAGGGGGGGAGGATTCAGACCTCTGCCGTCACACCCCTCGGCCGCTCCCCTGCGACGGCCCGCCGAGGCACCCCAGGCGCGTGCCGGCCCCCCCGCGTGACGTGCTCCTTCGGCGAGGCCGGCAGGGGCCGCGCAAACCTGCCTGGCTCGCGCCCCCGCCGGGCCTCCCGGCCCCCTCGGTGGCTTGGCCGAGGCGGCCGCGTGGCAGCCACGCTGTCGCAGGCACGGGCTCCACCCACCGCCGGCCGCCGCCCTGTCGAGGCTCGGCCGGCCGCTGGGGCCGGTGTGGGCCCAGGATGCAGCCAATTCGAGTGGATGAAACGTCAGATCACAGTCCGTCCTCTCGGCCTCCTGCTACGTCTGCTTCCACTACGCCGACCGCTGCGCGGGCTCCGCGACCCCGGGCTGCCTTGGAGGTCTTCTCGGGCTGCGGGCGCTGGACTGGTGCCCTGGCCCAGGCGGGCCTCGTCGTCGCGGCCCCCATGGACATCAAGCACGGGCCCTGGTGCGACCTCCTCAACCCGAAGGTCGAGTCTCAGGTGCGTTCCTGGATCACCTCCCGGGCCGTCTGGTTCGTCCACTTCGGCACCCCGTGCACCCCGTGGTCCATCTCTCGGCGAGGGGCTCGCGAGGTCTCCGCCATCAGGGCGGCCCGTCGGTGCGCTCACGTCACGGTGCGTCTCTTGGAGGTCTGCAGCCGCTACAGGATTCACTGGTCTCTGGAGAACCCCCAGTCCTCGGGCCTCTTCCGTTGGGCCCCGCTCCGGAAGTTCTTGGACCAGCACTCGCGTTCCTGGGCTACCTATCACTGCTGCCGGTTCGGCGCGCCCTACAAGAAGCCCACCACCATCGTCTCAAGTCTGGGGGCCCTGCACGACATCGGCCTGCTCTGCGAAGGGGGCCACAGGCACGAGCACTTGTCTGGGAAGGTACGTGTCCGTGCGCCCACGGGAGGGCTCAAGCATCAGTGGAAGACCACGTTGGCCGGCGCGTACCCCCCGGGCGCCTGCCACCTCGCTGCCAGCATCTTGGCAGCGGCAGCGCCGCGCGGCGCCAAGAGGCCAGATGGTGCTCCACTACTCGAGGAACGATGGCAGGCTGACCTCTGCCGGGCAGCGGGTTGCGACTTCGGTCCTCGGGCGCTCCCGTGCCCGACCTGTCCCTCGCGCTGGGCCCCGCTCTGGAGGTCGGACGCCGAGCAGTGGGGCGGCGTCTGGGGGCCCCCGAGGCCCCCCGCTGGAGGAGGCTCCGGCCGAGGGCCGCGGGCCAGTGCGCCGGCGCCCCGCCGCTGCCGGTGCCGCGCGGCGGCCGCGCGCCCGGCGGGAGCCCGCTGACTACAACCCTGGCTTCCTCCGGCGCTCGAGGGTGACCGCCACGACCGCCGAGCGGTACCACGCCAGCCTGCACGAGTTCGCCGCGCAGATGGGCCTGGACCCGGCGCGCTGGACCGCCCGCGACCTCCCTGCCGTGGACGCCGCCCTCGACCGCTTCCTCGAGGAGCTCTTCGTAGCCGAGCGGTCGCGGGGCGACGCTCGGTATGCGCTGGCTGCTGTCGCCGACCACTTCAACGTCAGCCTCCGCCAGCCTGGGGTCCTCCCGCTCGCTCGCGCTGCCATGGCTGGCTGGGGCAAGCTGGAGCCTGACTCGACTTCGGATCCCCTCCCGTGGTCGGCCGCGGTGCTGATGGCGTACCACCTGTCGCGGACTGGCGTCGAGTCGGACCTCGAGGCCGCCCGCGGCCTCGTTGTGCAGTTCGACACCTACCTGCGGCCCTCGGAGCTGGTGCTCATGCCCCTGGTCGCGTGCTTCACGCCGGGCATGCACGCTGGGGTTCACTACAACAAGTACGGGATGGTCGTCGCGCCGTCCAGCCAGGTGGCCGGCCATCTCATCGGCATCCGTACCAGCAAGACCGGCGTGCAGGATGACACCGTCCTCCTTGATGAGGCCAGCCGACCTGGCGTGATCGGTGCCTTCGCCGCGCTCATCCGCCAGGCTCGCCGTTCTCGCTCGCAGACGCTGCTCCCTAGCCACACGTATGCCTCGTACAATAAAGTGCTGCAGAGGGCCGCTCAGGCCGTAGGCATCCCTTTCAAAGTCACGCCTCACCTCGCCAGGCACGGCGGGCCCAGCGAGGACTTCCTCCGCCGTGCCAGGACGCTGCCCGAGATCCAGGCGCGCGGGCGCTGGGCCTCTTTCCGCAGCGTGCAGAGATATGAGAAGGCTGGCCGCCTCCTCGCGGCCATCCGCAAGCTTCCGCCTGCTGTCCGGGCCGCCGCCTGCAAAGCCGAGGCTCGTGGACTCTCTTTTCTGGCATGAGTAGTTAGCTCTTCGCACATGTCTTGGGACAGGAGCAGTTTGTTGCATGCCCTGGTTTGTTGTAACAAAGCTTCCGCCTGCTGTCCGGGCCGCCGCCTGCAAAGCCGAGGCTCGTGGACTCTCTTTTCTGGCATGAGTAGTTATTTTGCGGCCGTGGGCCAGTGGAGTGTTATGGGATTTTCTCCCCAGCTGCTCTCCATTTTGTGATATGGGACTTGGTTGGCCGACGCCTTTTCGGCCCCGGCGCTGCTGGACCTCAGACGCCGTCGGGCCCTCGGAGTGGCTAGCCTCTCTCTCACACAAGTCGCCAGCGACGTGGTCGCCTGGAGAGTGGAAAATACATCGTCCAAGGGCGACGGGCCGTGGCCCGACCTTTCCCCCTCTCGCCCTGTCGATCTCTCCGAGGCGGCCTCCCTGGTGGGGGCATTATACGAGTCAACATTGTACGTGCTCGCGCGCTATGTGTTGTCCAGCGGGCCTCCCCACCGTGTGCCGTACCAGGATACGGCTGAACAGAACTCTCTACAGCCCCTCTTTGCTCCCCGCCCGCGAGCCACCCTTTGCATATAGGTACTGTTAATGTTCTGTTAATGAGCTGCAGGACTTGGTTGGCCGACGCCTTTTCGGCCCCGGCGCTGCTGGACCTCAGACGCCGTCGGGCCCTCGGAGTGGCTAGCCTCTCTCTCACACAAGTCGCCAGCGACGTGGTCGCCTGGAGAGTGGAAAATACATCGTCCAAGGGCGACGGGCCGTGGCCCGACCTTTCCCCCTCTCGCCCTGTCGTTCTCTCCGAGGCGGCCTCCCTGGTGGGGGCATTATACGAGTCAACATAGATATATCAATGCAACCCGAATCGCCACTGTGACCAGGACTGGTTCTGGTCACGGTTCTGGTTCGGGTGGAGTGGCATTAATAGTGTTGTTGCAAAAATATAAATGCATCCCGAACCACAATTTTGAGCAGGACTTGTTTTGTTCATGGTTATTGGTTGTGGCTCTTTGGCGTATCAATGCAACCGGATCCACAGCTGTGACCAGGACTGGTCCTGGTCACGGTTTTGGTTCGGGAGGCATTGCATTATTATTATAATAATAGTATAAATGCAACCCGAACCGCAGCTGTGACCAGGACTGGTTCTGGTCACGGTTCTGGTTCGGGTGGATTGGCATTAAAACAATTGTTTGACTATTAATGCAAGCCGAGTCACAATTGTGACCAGGACAAGTTCCGGTCATGTTCTGTTTGTGGTTCATTGGCATCAATAGTATTAGAATAATAGGAAGGCAACCCGATCCGCAACTATGACTAGGCCGGTTTTGTTCGGGTCCATTGACGTTATAATATCATAATATTATTAATGCAACCCGAACCACAATTGTGACCAGGACTGGTCCTGGTCTGGTTCTGGTTTCGCCGCCTTATTCGAATAGCATTCGAATAATTTGACTCCACCTTAACCAGAACCATGACTGGTCACAGTCATAGTCATAACCCCGAATTAATAATATTCCAACCTCACCCGAACCAAGACCAAAACCATTTACAGTCATAGTCATAGTCCGACATTAATAATATTATTCCGAGGCCACCGAATATTACGTACGTCCAGACCAGTTCCAGTCACAGTCACAGTTCGGTAATGTTAATGTAATTCGAATGATGTCCACCTCAGCCAACACCTGAACCAACTCTCGTCGCCGTTGATTTTGCTTTGTTTTTTTTCGAAATCTTTGCGGGCGCTGCCGGAGCGTCCAAGGCGATGTCGAAATTTGGGCATTTTGCCATCGCGACTGACATTCGGTTTGGAGAGAAGCTCGACACGTGTAAGCCATCGCGCGTGCGGTGCGTCGGAGGTCGGATCATGTCAGGCTACGTCTTGGGCATGCCCATCGGGCCGGCTTGCATTCCCCGGGCGCGTGCTAGAACCAGACCGAAATGACGTCGGCCGCTTAGGGGCGGTGAACACATTCTCGGGTGACCTGTCCTGCGAAATTAATGTGAAAGATGGAAAACCCAGCCAGGCATCCTGGCCATGAAAAATACTGGTCATCGCCCCAGTGACGTCTCTGCATATGGTTCTATGGGGCCTCGAAAGCCCTTGTCGTTGATCCTGGGGCGCACCTCAGGTGGCGCACTTAAGACAACGACGAACTACTCGTGAACTGCGAGCTGCCCTCTGCCAGAGGGCAGCGCCCGGGATGAAGCCGCGCGTTCAGTGGGTAGTTTTTTAGGCTGCAGGTGCAAGCTCTGCAGGGGGAGGCGTTCCAGAACTAGCAAACGACGCGCGCTTTCAACTGGCAAATGCAAAAACTGAGTTTTTGGAACCCGAGTTGCCGATGAATATCCAGAGTGATTTTTTCTCAGGCTCTCGCCGGCGCCTGTGCCAGTGGTTGAGGTGGCTTCGAGGCCGCCTTGTTTCTCTGCTCTAGCAAGTGCAATCCAAGGTGAAGGTCCCGCCGCCGCCCCACCCCCTCTAAGAGGGAAAAGTTTGCGCGTTAGGAGCGGAGCTTCGCTTCAGAACTATGCGCCCATATCTTCTTGAGCAGCGTCCGCGCAGGCGCCGGTGCACATTGTTTGGGATTCGTTGCAGCTGTTTGCGCAGCCCGAGGCGTGGAAAGTAATGTAGTTGCTGCCGCCTCTGCTGTCTCGGCTGGCCGGCGGAGTCGTCGCGTCGGGCGGCTGTCTCGCGCGCGAAGAAGGCGGGGGGCGACTGGCGCGCGCGCGTCTTGCCTCTGCCCAGGTCTGCAGCGCGCGCGGCCCCCGCCCGCCCCCCTTTGCGCAGGGCGTGTTTTTAACCCGTGGAGCGAAGGTTCGCATCGTAATTCTGCACCGTTGTCTTGAGCAGCGTCCGCGGAGGCGCCGGCCCGCGACGCTTGAGATTCGCTTCAGCGGTCTGCGCTGCCCGAGGAGCGACGATGAATGCAGCTGCTGCTGATTCTGCTCTCTTGGCTGGCCGGGAGCGTCGTCGCGCCGGGCGGGTGTCTCGCGCTCGCAGAAGGCAGGGGGCTGATTATGGTTTCTATCTTGATGACGAAAAACAGTGATGGTGATGTTTGATATGTTGGTAGCGGTGATGATGAATGGTGTGGGTGTTATGCATATATTGATGTTGATGCTGGTCATGATGATGCTGTTGCCGATGATGCTGCGGAGTTGTGGTGATGCATGACGATGGAGATGGTGATGATGATGAGCGGTGGTAATGGGTGGTGGTGGTGATGTTTCTGATGATGAATCTAGTGAGTGATGACCATGCTGATGATAATGATGTTCATGGCGACGACGCCTAATTATGTAGCTGATGCTGACGGTAATGATGGTGGTGAAGATTATGGTGATGATGATGATGATGATGATGGAGACTTATCATGTTGATGATAAGTGGTGATGATGAATGATGGTGATGATGAAGGCGATGGTGCTGCGGATGATGATGAATATGAGCGATGACGGTGGGTGATGATGATTTGATTGCTGATGATGACGGTGGTGCTGGTGATGATGAATGGTGAAGAAGATGATGATTGCGATCCGAGGTATTGTTGATGAGTCATGGTGGTGGTGAATGATGCTGAGGACCGTGCTGACTGGTGATGACGATGATGAAGCTGATGAAACAATACATGATGATGAAGATGGTGGTGATGCTGGTGATGATGCATGGTGGTGCTGGTGAGTACGGCGGGAGTTGATTGTGACGGTACATGATGATGGAGATGCCGATGGTTATGAATAGTGTTGATTGTGATAAATCATGATGGTGATGTTGTTGATGATGATGAATGGTGATGATGACGATTACTTGGATGGTGCTGATGATGATGCTGGACATTGGCGATGGTGCGGGTCAATATGATCATGGTCACGAAGATGATGGTGCTTGTGATGATGGTGAGTGTTGGTGGTGATGCTGATGCTGCAGATGGTGATGAATGATGAGGGTGCTGAATGCTGGTGATGGTTTTTGGCGGTGGTAAATGATGATTGGACTACGATTACCCCGATGATGCTTCTGATGAATGGTCGTTCTTATGATGAAGGATGGTGATGCTGATGGTGCTGACACTAGCGATGCTGATGCTGATTGCGACGATGAGGGGTGACGGTGGTCTGAAATATTAATGTTGATAATGGTGTTGAAGGCGATCGTGATGAATGGTGAATTGTGGTGTTGATGATGTTGAACGCTTGTGATGATGGTGAATGGTGATGGCACTGGTGATGGTGGCGATGCTGCTGATGATGATGACGGAGATGAAATATGATCGCGTTGTTGATGATGGTGTTGATGGCGATGCTGGGTTGAAAATGAAGGGCCAGGTGCTGATGATGATGATGGTGGGAGATGATGATGAAGGTGATGGATGTGGCGTTGAAGATGAAGTAGTGCTGGTGCTGCTGATGATGACGATTGTGAACGGTGGTGGCGAATGATTTTGCGGATGCAGAATGTGATGACGATGATGGCGTTGCTAACATTAGTGATGATGCTGAATGATGGCGATGCTGGTAATTTGGACAATGATGGCGAATCTGATGAATGGTGATGTTGAAGATGATGATGGCGACGTGGTTGCGGATGGATGACGGTAGGAATGACGTTGGGCGAGCATGGCGAAGGTGATGTTGGTGTTGATGGTGCATGGTGTTGGTGAAATCTGCGCTTACGTTGAAGAATATAAATGCGAATGCGGATGATGATGATGGGTGGTGATGGTGATGGGTTACGGTGGTGACGAATGGTGGTGACGAATAAAATTGGTGATTGTGGGGATGCTGATGGCGAATGGGAATGATGATGAGGGTGAATGGCGACGAATGTCATCATGGTGCTCACGCTGATCATGATGAATGGGTATCATGATGAGTTGGTGCTGGTGATGGTGAAGATGATGATCATGATTGTGAGCTCTGATCGTAATGTATGCGATGGTGCTGCTGATGACGATGACTGATCATGGTGAGCGATCGTGGTGATGATGAAGGGGATGCAGATGATG